ACTGTAGTGAAAAACATCAAGTACATTAAAAACACTTGCCTGGACAGCACTCAACAAAATGAGAATATTTTAATGTTATTTTTATTCACAATTTTAAAAAATGTTTAATTGTGCTTGATTGATGTTTGAATATTTTTATATTATTTCTTAATATCATGTATTTCAGCCTTGATGTTGATGTGAATAAAAGAAACTAAGCTCAACTAAGCCTAAAATTTAAAAGAACTTAGAATGTATAATTTAGAGCCGATTAGAACAGCTAGCTGTTTGATTGCTTCTGGGTTAGAATAATCAACCTTCCATGATTAAAATTTTGTCTTGTAAACATTTGTAGGACTGGTAAAAACATCAAACTCAAACTTCTATAGTCCTACGTACATCTTTCAAAATAACAATAAATGATTTGGCATCCAGTATAACTGTACAACAAACAATTATTTTTTTTTTTTTTTGGTTTTTTTTTTTTTTGCTAACCTCGAAGGGCTTCTTATCATCTCCTTTAATCGAAATTCCATATCTGATAAATAGTTCAAGAAACTGCAAGTCTCCCTCGTTAACATAGTTTTTCACATTATACATCTGAAACAAAATAATATACATAGTATAAACGTAAGCCAACTGTTAAAAAAATGTTTAAATTGTTTGGTAATCAACTAAATAATTAGTTACAATAAATTTTCATACCGTAAAACATTTATTTATTTAAGCCTTCTTTAACCAGGGGGTATCCATTCAGTGATTAGCACTGCTTTTCAATGAAGCGCTGGTACATACAGTAAATAATATATACAAGGAAAAAATGTTTACAATCATGAAATTCAAAAGTAACTAAAAGTAAATAAAAAAACAACAAGATAGCCTAAAATTGAAAAGAAAGCAGACAAATGAACACTACCAAACCAAAATCAAAAAGGTACAGTCTTACTAAATACAGATAAAGGTCTCTTTTTTAAACATATTAATAGAAAGAGAATCAAAATTTACAAATGTTGTGGATTGTTCCAAAGGTGAGTTGCTCTGTTATGAATGTACGCTCACAACAGTTTGAATTTGCATGTGAAACAACTAGAGTATTTGATATTTGATTCCTAATAGGGTTGAAGTGAACAGAGTTCAATCATGCCAACAACCACTCCCAGCATTGACTTGCTAAAAAGAAAATCTTATGATATTATGAGAGGCGCTTATTCAAACGGGGCGCTTATACCTATATTAATTGACTTAAAACAAGAAAGGCTACTTCCTATCTTAATTGCTTGTTTTCTATCTCTTAAGTAGGAAGTAAACCAAGACAGTTCATTGCCACTGATGCCTTGCTCCTCCAGTTTAATAAGAACTTGATTATGGTCAATGGCATCGAAAGCTTTTTTAAGATCAAGGAACAAGGCAGCAGTGACATATATCCCTTATCCATATTATCTAAAATCTTGACTATCTAAAAGCGTGGTATTAGTTGAGTGATTTTTTTCTAAAACCGGATTGACTGGGATTTAATAAATTGTGAGACATAAAATACAAATATAGTTGATCGTGAACAGCACGCTCATCTTAGATAATTTTCAGTCTTAGATTTGTCTCCACTCTTATGAATTGGTGTTACCTTTGCTGCTTATATTCACTTGGAAAAACTTATTTATTCAAAGACAAGTTACAAACGTAAGCCACAGAATAGCA